TGAATCAGCGACCGATGATCCGTCAACCCTGTGAACGGATGTCCCTTGCGGATTCGCCTGGAGTGATGCACAGCCCGGAAGACGGCTAAGAGCTTCCGAACGAAAGTATCGTAGCAAGCCTGTGATGATGGCAGCGTCTAGGAGAAGAAACCAACAGATCGCCGCTTCCTTCGTCGACCAGCTGCAGCCACGCAGCGACGACGGCCAAACTGGACACGTCGGTGGCGAGACGRAGTGGTACCGATGGCGATAGGATGGCAATCTCCGCGGCTGCAGAGAGGCTGCGTCGGGCGCCTTCTTGAGGTTCTCGCCGGTCGACAGGATGCGGAAGTAAGCCTCCTGAAGAACCAGAGTGGAGAAGGTGTTGGGACGACGAAAGTCATCCGTTGCCCGAAGTCTGTCCGAGAAGGAGAAGCTGGACCAAGGCTGGAAAACAGCCGGATGACTCAGTTGAACAAGGCGGTCGGAAGTAGACTCGGCCGACGCTGAGCGTTCACCGAAGAGGCGACGCGGGCGCACTGAGACAGCGGTGCAATCAGTTTAAAGCCCGGTGGTGAAGGCTGGTGCAACGGTCGGCGCCGTGACCGGTGCAGGAGCCAGTACTGGAACTCGTTGACAAGCAAAGTCTTGCGCGGGCAAACTTCTCGCCGCAGCCGCATCCGGCTGGCCGCCGGTAGCGAGTTGCTCAGCTTCGGCTCGCCTGGTCGGCATCTTTCGAAAAGAAAAGCACACACGAAGTAAGAAAAACGAGTCAAGGAGCGTACTTACGACCGTGGTGCGAAAGGGACCAAAAACAAAATGGCTGCCGAAGACAAGACCTCGACTTGAAAATGGCCGTTAAACAGGRYGAAACCAGGCAAGAGAAGATGGCTGACCAGAGGCGAAACCGAGCGAGCGAAGAGAAGCGCGAAAAAAAAACGTGGTCGAACTGGTTCCGGAGATCACGTCGGGGTCACCAATGTGGGAAAACCAATGTCCGCGGGCCGAATGGCTAGTTACTGACCACCGTAACA